CAGTGCCTCAGAAAAAAATAAACCTTTCCAGAATTCTAAATACTAGAAAGTCATGGTGTCACAACCTAATTAACTCAAAAATTCCTGGTGGCTTCCTGAAATGGTGTCTCAGTTTGGGTTAATTGTCTTCATAATCATAGATTGTTGAGTTGATAGGTTTCTGGAAGAAGGGTATTGACCATCTCCAAAAAGAGGGCAGCGTATCGATGGCCGTTACTTATTATACTGCTTTTTCACCGTAAGTTGATCCAAGATTATTCATAGAAAGTTTAGTGTGTGTCCCTAAAAAATGCTAAAAAGTGTGGCAGGAAAAATAATACTTTTAACATGGATTGTAAAGCTTAATCTGTTTATAATTTGATAGGGTTCATAAGAAGTGGACTGATGCTGGTGTGTTGTAGAGCACCACCTACAACACACAGAAAATTCCTTACAATTGCCTAAAAGCACCTAACCAGGGCTCATGAATAGACTTTGTATAATGTTAATTGGAACATATTTAAGAACCAAATATTAACCTTGTCACATAAATCCTTATGGACCATAAATGGGTTTTACACATTTTAATGATACTGGAGATAAATAGTGGACTGCTGCACAGTGGATCATTGTTCTCTTTTTGGATGAAGGTTAAGCTGGTGTTTTAACTGAGAACCAAATTATCAGTGTAAAGGAAGGTTAGGGATGCACATAATCAACATTGCTTGATGACTAGTATAAAGTTTCTTCAGCCAGTGATGATTTTAGATGCATTGTCTTCTGCTGGTCCTGTTTTACTCTGTTATCTGAAATATACTATCAATACAGCTATCCATAAGAACAGCATTCAATGCTTTATTTGCTGACAAACCTTTAAATATACTAAGTTGCTTTGCTATCAGCAGTTGATAACTGGCCACACTACTAAAGGTACCACAAGCTGGTCCAGTGACTACATCTTTGGTGTCATTGTACTTTGAACTGAATCCCACACAGAATCTATGGATTTTTGTCTAAAGGACTATGTAACTTTATAAGCTAACAATGCACACAATCTGAAGGTCTCTTTTTTATTTGCCTTAACACCAGCCTTATTGCTATGGTTCGTGCAAAAAGAAGGCTAAACAAGTTATTGAACACATAGATTCAATTCAATTTCAATTCAATTCAGTTTTTATATATAGTGCGAAATCACGACACAAGTCATCTCAAGGCACTTTACAGTTCAACCAGATCATACAGTCAAATTGATTCAAAAATTTGACTGATAAGACCTTTCAGAAGCCTGAAGTTTCTGTTTAAAGTAT